CCTTTCAATGTTGTAACAATTAGTTTCTCAATAAATGGCTTCGATCTACTAATGTTTTAAATTGTCGTACTCTTACTAGAAAGACATTTACCCCTGCTTCGAATTAAATGAAAAATAATAACCGGGAAAAAAAAGAGATCAAACATAACACGAAAACAAAAGCAAAATACAAAATTAAAAGAGTTCCGCTCATCAATACTTAACATTCTAAGAGACTACACCCCTGTTTCGCCCCCATTATCCCAAAAATTTATTATTCTCTCTCTTATTTTTAAGTACACATTTTTTCCATAAAAGAATATTACACGTAACTTTTCCTTCCTTTTCAACGACACATTCTCCAAAAAATATACTATTCCAAAAATTATAATTTCAAATAATGGAGACCAAACAAGGGTTTATTAGAGCTACACTACATATTACATAATTCCAAGAGTCTTTGACACTACTAAAACCAGACTTTGACAAGATATATTGGTTGACTAAAATATCCCATTGAGGATTGACTTTGAGAAAACTAAAAAGTTAAGACTCACTACAAATTGAATAGTGAGGATCGAATCGCTACATTTTGCCTAAGCTGGGGACTGCAACTATATTATTCCCTAAACTTTTGGTCACTTTAGATTTGGTCAAGAAGAAAAGGGATGGCTAGGCGAGAGACTAGCAAACTTATTGCTTACTTCCACGCTATGGTTGAAGCCTTATTCTCTATAGATGTGGTGAAGAATTTTCCGTTAGAGCTTAATATTTTACTTAACAACCTTCAAATGTTATTTAATTTTTGCAACTGTATTTATTTAAAAATTAAAACACAAAAAGAAAATTCACAATAATATTGCAAAAACACGTGTGACGTGTATTTCTTAACTAGTATAGATAAAATAGAAAATATATAAGTACTAGGAGAGTGTAGTGATGGAACGGGGGCAAGGAAATGCACATGTTGTCTATTGCTGATTTAACTCCAAAATTTGGTCGTGTTTCCTCCCAATTCGTAAATTATGTGCTTTTCATCTTTCAGTTATGTTTAAACAACACAATTGTTTAACAAACTTGATCATTTTAGTTGCTTAATTTCAAATTTATTTGAACTTCACGAGTCATTTCACTTTTATTTCAACTGAAGCACATTTTCAAGTTATGTTATGAAAACAAATAGACTTTCGTACCGAGAAAACAAGATTGTGACTTTTTGTCATTTAGAGTTAAATATTCTACCACTTTTGGATCAAATCTATGATTTCACCTTTACTATCAATATTCGATGCTATCTTATCCCATATTAAGGTATATTCTACTACAACAACATTAGAATTAACATCCACAATTTCAAGAATACATCCATTCAAAAATATCTCGACAAATATTTTCAAGATCAAACAAAGTTATATTCTCGTCGGTGACACCCTTTGACTACTTTAATTTTGATTTCAATTCTACAAGAAAGTTAATGGCCACTCTTGAGGAATATAAACTTAGTGCTTTTTGATAATTTTTTGCAAAAAAAGTTTATCAACTTTTCAATTAGTAAAAATTCAATTTTAATTAAATATTTTATTAGATTTACAATTTTTATCTATTTTTCAACCATACATTTTATCAACTTTTATCAAAATCTACTAAAACTTTTATAGAACAGAGCCTTGAAAAATCCTAGGTGGGGTTCTCATTTTATTCAAAATGTAACATCTTCATATTATCACCTCACATATCTTGTACATTCCATTTTATTAAAAATATTGAACGGAAAATGTCCATCAAGTCTTACATTGTACGTGTAACCAAGGATAGGCAAAAGAATCGGAACCAACTCAACTGGTGTTTTATATTCATCTCTACTTAAATTTTAAATGATTTTGATTCGTCAAAAGAACCATATAGTTTTGGTTCGATTTCGGTTCAAGTCTGAGAATCGAGAATCAGTTCAAACCCATTTTTTAAACATCCCATGTTTGGTTTGGAATAAAATTCAATTAAAAACTCAAATCAAAGTCAACAACTAATTAATCTTAACCATATATTTTATGGGATCCACAACTTTCAACCATATATTTCATCGACTTTTATCAAAATTCACTAAATATCATATTTTAATCTCTACCAAACAGGGGTATAGTACTTGAAGAGTAGGTGATGGTAAGGGGGCAAGGGAAACTAAAAACGTATATATGCACATGTAGTCTATTGTTGATTTAACTCCAAAATTTAGTCGTAATTCAACTATTGGTCATTTTTCCTCCCAATTTGTTAATAATGTAATTTTCTTTTTTCAGTTGTGGTTAAACAACACAATTGTTTAACAAACTTGCTCTTTTTAGTTGCTTAATTTCAAATTGTTTGAACTTAATTTTCTGTTATGAAAATTACTAGATTTTCATACACTACAACAAAAATAGCCATTTACAACATTAAAAATGCAACATTTGTTGATAAATGTTGCTAAAAGGGTCTTTTGACAACATTTTAGTAAGTAAATGTTGCCATTGATTAGCATAAATGAGTTTTGGCAACGTTTTATAGAAAAATGTTGTAATAGACCCATTTTTGCAACGTTTATTGAGTGTTGCGGGAGGAAAGGCTCCAGGGAAGCAACTTGCTACTAAGGTTTGTAAGTGTGTTGTTTGCTTAGTTATTTGTTAATTTTGCATTTAAATAGTGGCTTGTTCAAGAAATTGCCTAGGACTTCAAGGTACATTGATAACATACACTTTGTTTTTTCTTTGTTCATATATTTTAAAAAAGAATGATACTAATTTATTGCTAAGTATTTTCTTGTTTTGACTTGTTCTGTGGTTGCAGATTGATCTGTGTTTCCAGAGCCATGCTGTTTTAGCACTTCAGGAGGCTGCAGAGGCCTACCTTGTTGGTCTTTTTTAGGACACCAACCTGCGTGCTATCCATGCCAAGCGTGTCACTATCATGCCTAAGGACATCCAACTGGCTTGCAGGATTAGGGGTGAGAGGGCTTAGATTGACTAGATTCTATTTTGAATTAATGACTTTGTTGATCAAATCTTCGGTCTGTGTTCAAATTAGGAGATAATGTCACATATAGTTGATGAGAATTCCCTGTTGGCTCATTTGGTTCTATCTTTTTTATATCTAAAAATTTATTATTCTATTTGCACAAAAATAATGAGACTATCTGTTGAAGGAGTTGAATGAGAATATAATTTGTATCCCCTTTCCTTATAGGAACATTATGTCCTTGCAATTTTGCTTGCTTTGATATAACCATTGAAGGGTTTAGGTCATGATAGGGCAGTTAGAATTTATTTTTCTTGCTCCCCTGCTCATCTTCTAACTGCATCTTCCTTGAAGGAAAGAATTCTTCCCTGGCTAGTCACACCAGAAATAATTGAGTGTTGTGATTACAGTTCTTTGTAACTGCTATCCTCCAATTCTCACAGTATTTACTGTCTTTGAATATCATTTTACTTGACTTCAAAGTTTCAATTATATTTATGATATTCCACATTTGCTGAAGATAACATACAGTTCCAGAACCTATTCTATTGAGGACGTTAAAGGTTTTAGATCATCAAATTCACCGTGCAGAAGGTCTGTCATTTTATGAGTGTGAACATTTAAGTTTGCAATCTTAAAATCTTCAGTTGTTTGTAGCCATGCGGCTTAGGGACTAGTTTTTTTAATTGACGGAGTTATCTTGGACTGTCATCCTGGTTCAGAACTACAACACTGTAGCACAAGAGACAGGATGATAGCACTTTTTACTTCTTTCATTCAAAATTTCTCATTGAAACTATATGAATTTCTTGATAGTAATTCCCAGTTTATCCTAAAGAAAATAATTTTAATGTTCTGCTACTTGTGTCTTCAACGTTGCACAGGTCCCCGAGACATTACCATATGAGGTTCTAATGAAAACGAGTACACCTCCAAGGAGTGATGTACCTATGATCACACCTAGTAATTTTCCCGAGGCTGATGGCTTTGTATTTGGCTTTCCCACAAGGTTCGAAATGATGGCTGCCCAATTCAAAGCCTTTGTTGATGCAACTAGAGGCCTAAGGAGAACACGACAGCTTGCTGGAAACCTGTTGGGATCTTCTACAGAATCTCAAGGAGGTGGACAAGAAACTACTGCGTAAATTCTCCATCTTGGAGGTGGAGATGTCTCTGTGCCTTCTGTTGGATTTAGTTTCAAATGAAGGTTGGACTGACTTGTTGGCTTCTTAATTCATAGATGGAATTTGTTACTAAGATGTTTGTGTTGTCCATTGTCCTGAGTAATTTGTATGTTAGAGCTTTTCCTTGTTTTTGACCTATTGATGGGTGATATGTATGCTAAAATATGAGTGCCGGTCAAAACAATATATAAGTTATGGATTAAAAAATTTGTAATGAAATTATTAATTTTTATGCAATTTTAAAATTTGTTCAAAAGGAGTATTTTCAATTTTGCCAGTCAATTTACTTAAATTGCGCAAAAAAAAATCATACGGCAACGTTTTTTAAACGTTGCGAAAGTGGTCTACGGCAACGTTTTTCAAACGTTGCCGTATCTTTCTACTCTACGACAAAACCTCGATTTGCAACACACGTCCAAAAGTTGCAAAAGGTCTACGGCAACGTTTTGAACGTTGCCGTAAGCTGTTTTTATTGTAGTGATACTGACAAACAAGATCGTGACATTATATCATTTATAGTTAAATATTCCATCACTTTTAGATCAAATCTATGATTTCACTTTTACTATCGCTATTAGATGCTATCTTATCCCGTATTAAGGAATATTTTTTTAAAAGGAGCATCCTACAACATCAGAATAACAACCACAAATTCAAGAATATGTCCATTCAAAAACTTCTCCACAAATATTTCCAGATCAAACAAAATTATATTCTTGTTGCGTGACACATCTTTGACTACCTTAATTTTGATTTCAATTCTGGAAGATAATTATTGGTCACTCTTGAGGAATATAAACTTAATGCTTGTTTGATAAAACTTTGTAAAATGTTTATCAACTTTTCAATTGGTCAAACTTCAATTTTAATCAAATAATTTTTATCAACTTTTCAACATCACGTTTTATCAACTTTTTACCAAAATATGCTAAAACTTATGTAAAACATACCCTCACAAAATATTGGAGTTCTCATTTTATTCAAAATGTAACATCTTCATAATAGCACCTCAAATACCTTATAATGCCATTTTAATGAAAAATTTGATGGAAAATGTCCATCGAGACTTACATTATAAGTTTAACTAAGGGTAGGCAAAAGATTCGTAACCAACTGAACCAGTATTTTAGACTCATCTCTACTTAAATTTTAAATGATTTTGATTCGTCAAAAGAACCATATAATTTTGGTTGGATGCAATTAGAAGTTAAAGGATCGAAATTACAAGAGAAAAATACCTTAAAAGAATCAAGAATAGAATTTGGGGATCGGACCGAAACGCAAAGGTTGAAAGTTGGTATAATTGGGCGACTTCCTAGTTATAAAAGCTGAGTGATCGCCCGACTTGAATTTTCAAAAATAGAGGCTGAAGCACATAACCCGGCGAGTGCCCGGATTTAGGCCCAGGGTAATGAGCGACCAGGATGCTGTTTTCGTTCACAATAGAACTTCAACAATAAAACTTCCTTTTGGGCCATTATTTACACGAATTCTAGAGACTTTTGGGACTTCTTGCAAACTTGTACGCTATTTATTTAAAAATTAAACCACAAAAAGAAAATTGATCAAACCGAACCATGCCCATCCCAGTGTAAAACTAAATGAAATTTAGATTACCAAAACTTGTAACTAAAACAGTGACTTGAGGACCAACATTTCAATTTCAGTTTAATGAACTATATAGTCCCATATTTCATATGCAGAGCTAATAGTTGCTTAAAAGTTGATCAAACAATACTTCTACACAAACATTCCTATGTTGGCAACTTTTACTCACTTAATATCCACACACTTTATAATACCTAGTAAAAGCTTTGCCAAATATGTCATCTAGCACATAAAATCCATGTTCTAAATTCAAGAATAAATATAATACACAACTAGAAACATCTCTATCAAAAACAACAGTTGGATAATTTATTTGTTAAACCAATTAATTTATTAAGAGGAGAACCAAGAAAAACAACATTAATTCCCTCCCCCGCCCGGGCCAACCCTCAAAACAAGGTAGGATGAAAATACTATAAATATGAGGATCATATATAAGTCAATTGTTCGGAACCGTTCAAATAAATGGTTCAAAAAATGTTTAATACTGTAGACGGAGCTGTTGATAGTAAAAGCTTAGCTGTTGATAATAAAGAGATGACTTTGGAGCAGTTCAAACAAAGGTTGATGAAGTATGACAAGAACAAAAATGGGCAGATAAGCAACGATGAACTCCACAAGGCCTTTTGCGACGCCAAAGGAGAGAGCTGGTTTAAGAATCGCAAGTGCAGACACGCCATCCGGGAAGCCGATAGAAATGGCAATGGGGTTGTTGATGACGATGAAATCATCTACCTGGTAAATTTTGCTCGGGAAAAACTAGGTCTGAAAATTGTCTGATCTAAGTTGATAAACCTAGTTGTGTTTGTCAACAAACAATGCATGTTTGTATAAACTATCTAGTTTGCTTTTTTTAATGTAGGAGTGCAAAGTTTGCATGAGAACAGTTAGAAACTTTGTAGTCTTGAATGTCATATATAAATAAAGCATTTATCAAACTTACTCATTTGAGTCACTCAATTTGAAATTGTTTCAATTTCACAACTCAACTTACAATTTCATTTTTAGTAAAGCGTGCTCCCCAGTTCTATTATGAAAACTAATAGACTTCTATCCCGATCGAGCTGTCTTGTAATGGTCACAATGAAACATTGACAAATTTGCTCATGATCAAGTTATAACTTAAGATCTATGACAATATTATGTTAATTGTTCGTATTTCGCTCATTTCATCGGTATGCTCCCTATTGGCCAATAATGGCCATGGCCTCTAGTAAGCCAACTTATTTTATGCCCCGTAATCAAGGTGTCCATATATAAATTGTTGTGGTAGGCTATTTCAAGCTTGGCTAAGGTGCGTGCTTAGTGTTTATATGTCGGATATTTGGTCTGGTATAGGTGATTTGTTTTCTTCAGCAACATCGAGGTATAGTTTACCCTTTAATTATATGACAAATTTACGATTTCACTTCAACAATCACTATGAGTTGCTATCTTATCCCATATTAAAAGTAGATTCTAAAAAGTAGCATCCTACAACAACGAATTCAAGAATATATCCATTCAAAAGTTCTTCACAAATATATTTTAAAATCAAAATATTTTAAAATCAAATAGAATTATATTTTTGTCACGTGACGCCTTTGACTACCTTAGTTTCAATTCCAATTCTCAAAGAAAGTAGTTAATCACTTTGAGGAACATAAATTTAGTGCTAGTTTAATAAATCTTTGCAAAAGTTTAGCGACTTTTCAATTGGTCCAATTTCAATTTTAATCACATATTTCATTGAATCAACAAATTTTATCAACTTTTTAATTATATATTTCATCAGCAATTATCAAAATATGCTAAAACTGCAATATAAAGTTTTATAACATGCGCCCATACAAAATTCTAGGTGAAGTTCTTAATTTATTCAAAATGTACAAGTAGGTCATCAAAATTTAATTTAAGAAAAGTGGTCATCAACCTTTCAATGTTGTAACAATTAGTTTCTCAATAAATTGCTTCGATCTACTAATGTTTTAAATTGTCGTACTCTTACTAGAAAGACATTTACCCCTGTTTCGAATTAAATGAAAAATAGTAACGGAAAAAAAAGATCAAACATAACACGAAAACAAAAACAAAATACAATATTAAAAGAGTTCCGTTCATCAATACTTAACATTCTAAGAGACTAAGCCCCATTTTGGCCCCCATTATCCCAAAAATTTATTATTCTCCCTCTTATTTTTAATTACACATTTTTCCAAAAAATAATATTACACGTAACACTTCCTTCATTTTCAACAATACATCCTCCAAAAAAATACTATTCCAAAAATTATAATTTCAAAATAAAGCTGGGGACTGAAACTATATTATTCCCTAAACTTTTGGTCGCTTTAGATTTGGTAAAGAAGAAAAGGGATGGCCTAGCCAACTTATTGCTTACTTCCACGCTATGGTTGAAGCTTTATGGTTAAACACAATTTTTTTAATGAACTTGATCATTTTAGTTGCTTAATTTCAAATTTGTTTGAACTTTATGGCTCATTTCACTTTTATTTCAACTGAAGCACCTTTTCAAGTTCTGTTATGAAAACAAATAGACATTCGTAGTGACAAACGAGATCGTGACTTTATGTCATTTACAGTTAAATATTCTATCGCCTTTAGATCAAATCTATGATTTCACTTTTACTATCAATATTCGATGCTATCTTATCCCATATTAAGATATATTCTACTACAACAACATCAGAATTAACATCCACAAAATCAAGAATCCATCCATTCAAAAATATCTCCTCAAATATTTTCAAGATCAAACAAAGTTATATTCTCGTCGGTGACATGTCTTTATCTTAATTTTGATTTCAATTCTAGAAGAAAGTTATTGCCCACTCTTGAGGAATATAAACTTAGTGCTTGTTTGATAAAATTTTGCAAAAAAGTTTATCAACTTTTCAATTAGTCAAACTTCAATTTTAATTAAATATTTTATTATATTTACAATTTTTATCTATTTTTCAACCACACATTTTATCAATTTTTATCAAAATCTTTAAAACTTTTATAGAACATACCCTTGCAAAATCCTAGGTGGAGTTCTCATTTTAATCAAAATGCAACATCTTCATATTAGCACCTCACATACATTGTACATGCCATTTTATTGAAAAATTTAACGGAAAATGTCCATCAAGTTTTACATTGTAAGTGTAACCAAGGATAGGCAAAAGAATCGGAACCGACAGAACATGTATTTTATATTCATCTCTACTTAAATTTTAGATGATTTGATTCGTCAAAAGAACCATTTAATGGCTCATTATAAAATAATAATTGATTCTCAGTTCGATAGGATTCGACCAAACTATTCTATTCGGCATTTGTCTAGTTCCATAATTATATATGGAAATAATGGTTCCGTCATATGATATTCATTGATCAAATTGAACCACATGCCCATCCCAGTGTAAACCTAAATATGTCATCTAGTATATAAAATCCATGTTCTAAATTCAAGAATAAATATAAGACACAACTAGAAACATCTCAATCAAAAACAACAGTTAGATAACTCCGCCACCCCAACCCCCACCACCCAACCGTCAAAAAGAAGGCAGAACAAGGTAGGTTGAAAAGAATATAAATATGAGGATCATAACTCATAAGTTAATTGTTTGGAACGGTTCAAAAAAAATGGTTCACACTAATAAAGGCGAACCTCATGATTATAAAGAAATGAGTTTGGAACAGTTCAAAAAATGGTTGATGAAGTATGACAAGAACAAAGATGGGCAGATAAGCCGCAATGAACTCCGCGATGCCATTCGCGACGTCAAAGGAGAGAGATGGTTTCAGGGTATCAAGAGTGGATACGCCATCTGGAAAGCCGATAGCAGTGGCAATGGGGTTGTTGATGACGATGAAATCATCAACCTGGTAGCTTTTGCTCGGAGTACACTAGGTATGAAAGTTGCCTTGAAATAATTAAGTTGATGAACCTAATTGTGTTTATCAGCAAAACAATTCATGTTTGTATGAACTGTCTAGTTTGCTTATCTTAATGAATGATTGCAAAGTTTGCATGAGAACAGTTTGAAACTTTGTAGTCTTCAATGTTATATATAAATAAACCATTTATCGAACTTACTTGTTTCAGTCGCTTAATTTAAAATTGTTTCAATTCACAACTCAACTTACGATTTCATTTTTACCGAAGCGCGTTCCCCAATTCTATTATGAAAACTAATAGACTTCCATCCCGATCGAGCTGTCTTCTAACGGTCTTGGTGAAACATCAACAAATTCGCTTATGATCAAGTTATAACATAAGATCTATGATCAGATTATGTTAACTTTTCGTATTTCGTTCATCCCATCGATATGCTCCTTGTTGGCTAGTAATGGCAATGGCCTCTAGTAAGCCAGCTTATTTTATGCCCATATATAAATTGATGTGGTAGGCTCTTTCAAGCTTGGCTAAGGTGCATGATAAGTGTTTATATGTTGTTGGACATTTCATCTGGTATAGGTGATTTGCTTTCTTCAACAACATCGAGTTAAAGTTTACCCTTTAATTATAGACAAATCTACGATTTCACTTTAACGTTCACTATGAGATGCTATCTTATCCCATATTAAAGGTAGAATCTAAAAAGTAGCATCCTACAACAACGAATTCAAAAATATGTCTCTTCAAAAGTTCTACACAAATATTTTTTAAAATCAAATAGAATTATATTCTTGTCGCGTGACACGTCTTTGACTACCTTAATTTCAATTTCAATTTCGATTACAATTCTTAAAGAAAGTAATTGGTCACTATTGAGGAACATAAATTTAGTGCTTGTTTAATAAATCTTTGCGAAAGTTTGGCGACTTTTCAATTCAATCACATATTTCATGGAACTAATAAATTTTATCAACTTTTTAATCATATATTTCATCAACGATTATCAAAATCTGCTAAAAAGGTAATACAAATACGTTATAGCTCACAGGTATCGTAACACACTTCCTCCATGTTATTGCTTTAGTCGTTGACTCGTAAGCCATGTATGTCTTCTCAATAAAGTAATTGAACACACGGACAGATAACTTTTTTCTACTTTTTAATTTCACATTATCAAAAAATATTTTCTTTTACAAAATCTATGCTGAAATATCTACATGAGACCCTTAAGTGGGATGAGTTACAGATACTGCTTTGTTTAAAATTAAGAACATAGAGCAAGTGAAAAGCTGCAAAATTGATTTTCTAATCAAAGTATTCTTTGACTTAACAACCTTTAAATGTAATTTAATTTTTACAACTTCAACTTCAACGGTATTTATTTAAAAATTCAACCACTAAATGAAAATTCACAATAATATTGCAAAAACACGTGTGACATGTATTTCTTAACTAGTATAGATAAAATAAAAAATATTCTCGGTTTGGTTTGGATTAAAATTCAATTAAAATCTTAAATCAAAGTCAATAATTAATTTTAACCACATATCTTATGGGACCCACAATTTTTCAACACACATTTCATCAACTTTTATCAAAATTCACTAAAAATTAGATTTTAATCTATACTAAACTAAAAACGTATATATGCACAGGTAGTCTATTGTCGATTTAATTCCAAAATTTCCTCCCAATTTGTTAATTGTGTAATTTTCTTTTTAGTTGCTTAATGTCAAATTGTTATGAAAATTACACAATTAACTTCGTAAAATCAAAATACTGTCAAATTGTTTGATAAAACTTTGTAAAAATGTTTATCAACTTTTTAATTGGTCAAACTTCAATTTTAATCAAATAATTTTTATTAACTTTTCAACCTCACATTTTATCG